ATTTGCGTCTTTTAAGTGATTAATTCCTTATTTTTTTCTATATTACTGTCCTGTACTATAGTTTTCGTTTCGTTGCAAGGCACTTCATCTTTCTCATCAGAAGTCGTTTAGGTCCCTGCAGGCTGCATGAGGAACTTCTGTGGTTCATTTTTTTCAGGTCATGCCGGCGAGGCGCTGATGAAGCTCTGTGGGCGCAGACGAAAGGGCACTCAAGCAAGGTAGTGCGGCAGCTTGTCTATCAAGTTAATCGTCGGCTGGTTTATTCCTTTGTTAGTGGCAAAGGCTGTGCTTTCTTGGATGACGATGAGCTGAAGGCTATGATTGCTGGTACTGATAAACATTTGAAGACGCTTGCGGAAGCGATGTATAGCATCATTTCGATGCCGGAGGACCAGTATAAGCTGGTATACAGACTGAGTGGCCACATTGCAGTACTCCTGTATCCGTTCCAGGCTTTTTCGGCGGTGAATGCTGCGGCAGCATTGGATTGGTGGAAGGATGTCCCCTGGACAAAAGTCCCGGCTCCACTGGCAGTCTTTCTGAGCAAGTGGTATGGAGCCAGTGTGTGGAAGAACCTTCTTGCTGGAGAGCCATCGCACATGCAAGCGGTCACCTGGCGGCCTTCCTCAGGGTCTGTTTTTGAGAAACGCATGGACAGCCGCAGCAGCCGCACTGAAAATTGCCGCGTGCCAATAGAGGCGGCTGCCAGTTCGCTTGGCGCAGCAAGGCCTTCGAAAAGAAGCGCTGAGTCATCGTTTGCCTGGCCAACCTCGTGCTCAGCAGAGCTAGCGGGCGATGGCACGGACCACTCGGGACCAATGACTCATGTCCACATGCATGGTCGCAACCAAAGGCCCAAGTACCAGTCTTTGTGCTCTGCGTGCCTGGAGAACAAACGTTCTGCCGGGACAAAATTTGACGTCCATGACTGAAGGAGTTTTTGCCCGTTGGAAGCGCGAAAAAAGCGGATGACCCTGCCGTCAGCTTCGGCATGAAAGACATGCTCGACGTCGAATATCACCGCTAAGAGTAACAAAAATACAAAAGATATGGAATGCTAAAGAGCTCAGCCACATGTCTGCCTGCTCTGCTAGCCTCGTGCACACGGAGCAAGCAGAAATGCATGGAATACTAAAAATTAAGGGGGGCCGTTTACCTAACGGAACACGGGGGAATAGAAGAGCTCAACCACATTTCTGCTTGCTCTGCTAGCCTCGTGCACACGGAGCAAGCAGAAATGCATGGAATACTAACAACTACGGGGGGCCATTTACCTGGTGGGACACGAGGGAAGAGAAGAATTCAACAACATTTCTGCCTGCTCTGCTAGCCTCGTGCACACGGAGCAAGCAGAAATGCATGGAATACTAAAAATTAAGGGGGGCCATTTACCTGGTGGGACACGGGGGAATAGAAGAGCTCAACCACATTTCTGCGTGCTCTGCTAGACGGAGCAAGCAGAAATGCATGGAATACTAACAATTACGGGGGGAAACGAAGAGATAAGCGAAGAGAGAAAAGAGAAGAGAAAAGAAAGGGAAAAGAAGAGATGAGCGAAGACAGAAAAGAGAAGAGCAGAGAGAAGAGAAGAGAGAAGAGCAGAGTGAAAAGGGAAGAGCAGAGAAGAGAAGAGAAGAGAAGAGCGGAAAACAAGGAGAGAAGAGAGGAACACAAGGAGAGAAAAGAAGACAGAAGCAATCCACTCCTATAGTTGCTATATTTTTAGAAACTTCCGCGCACCGGCTTCGCCGGCTTTACTGGTAATATCCCATTCAACCGTGGAATCGAACTACTGGCTCAGTGCCTGGGTCCTGAAAACGGCCTCAGCCATGGTCGTCCAATGCCCCTGCACGAAGTGGCTGTGCTTCCTGCCAGGACATACTGGCTGAGTGGCGACAAGTGTCGCGCGCTGCCCTGCGCAACCTTTTGCGTGAGAGCTCATGAGACCCAGGCCACTGTCCTCGAGCATAACAGATGCATAACAGAGCCTGACCTTTGAGCGTGCCAGAAGCCTCAGCCCCAATCAAAAGTTTGGGGAAATGAATTGGGGAAGCTTTTGGGGAAAGACCCCCCCTAAATCCGGCATTGTGAATGGATTGGCCAAGCAGCTTGCAGAGCCTGACCTTTGAGCGTGCCAGAAGCCTCAGCCCCAATCAAAAGTTTTGGAGAACCTTTTGGGGAAGCTTTTGGGGAAAGACCCCCCCCTAAATCCGGCATTGTGAATGGATTGGCCAAGCAGCTTGCAGAGCCTGACCTTTGAGCGTGCCAGAAGCAAGGCCCTTTCCACCTCAGCCCCAATAAAAAGTTTTGGGGAAGCTTTCGGGGAAAGACCCCCCCCCCTAAATCCGGTATGTGACTTCATGGGTCCTTGTGTGGATGTTCGCTTGGTAAGGAAGCGCACCCTGCAGCTTCAGTCTTGCTCCGTCAAGAGGACAGTGCGTGCTGAAGATGCATCGCCGCGTCGTAGCTTTTTGCTGCTCAGGCAAACAGTGGCTCAGCGGCAATGCCTTGTCAAGAAACAGGCACCGCCAACATGGCCGTCGCCCTCGGGTGGCTGCTGGCCTTGCGCGCCCTGGTGGATGATGGCGCCGATGAGTCCGCCCTGCATCGGCGGGTCCGCCTGTTTGCCCCGCTGCATTTTGCCGATTTGTATCCGCATGAGTTGTGGGCGCTGCTGGAGAACCTCGTCTCCGATACGGACCGCGTCGTCGGCAATGGCATGCCGTGGCAAGATCTCGCTGGCTCTAGGGCGCAGCTGGGCGAGCTGTTTTGCGCGCGGTTTGCCGCGCGCGCTACAAACAAGTGCGCCAGAGCAGTGGGCGACACCATGGAGCAGGTGCAAAAGCTCTTAACGAAGCTTGCCCAAAGCCAGAACGATGCTCTCCTGTCTGCAGGTCGCCAAGATGATACGCTCATGTCTGAAGACGAGTTTCATGACGCGCTCCTGTCACAGTCTGAAGATGAAGGCAGCCACGACAGCCCCGTGTACTGAGTTGTCCAGATGACACAGATGAAGTCGGCCAAGACAGTGAGTCCATGTAATTTGCTTGGATGCATTTCTTATTTGCACCCGGCTGCATGCAGCCAAGACAGTGATTCCGTGAAATTTGCCCGGATGCTGTGTTTTGCACGGACATTGAAATTCAAACCAGTCCAATCACGTTGCGCCTAGAAGAGCCGAAAAGCACGCGCGCTGACAAGTTGCCGCTTAGAGCCCTTGAGTGGCGCAGCAGCTACCAACTCATGCGTGGCTTGGACTGCGACTCAAAACTTTTGCCGCAGCAAGTGGCGCAAGTCTAGAAAGCCATGGACGGCGCAGATTGGGATGAGTGGCTCGAGGTCAGCACGGAGTCTGCGTGGCGCCGCAAGAGATGCCGGCAGATCAAGACCGTGCAAGCACGCTTTGGGTTCCTGCCAGACAGCGTGGTGCGGGAGGCAGGCCAAGAATGCGCGGGCTGCTACTAGGGTCCTGTCTTCAAACTCCCTCTCTGTTTGGCGATGTTAGCATTTAGTTTGGGGTGGGGCGGGGGGGAGTTGAAAAAAACAACAAGGGAAACAGGAATATCAAACATGCTTGAAAGTACGACAGCTTTAGGTTTTAGACATTGGCCCTGCAGGCGTTACCGCGCGGCATCGACACCTCGAGTCGCTTAACATGGGCCGAGGCCATGCAGACGTGTATGAACCGCTTGCAGGCATACGCGGCGGCCTACAAGTCGCAGTAAAGTGGCGAGAGTCACAAAGTGGCCAAACCTAAGACTCAGCCATGCCCAAGAAAAGTGGTCGAGCTGCGACGTTTGTAGGTCGGTCATTGGAGACTGCTGCTGTTGGATTTGCTGGCATGGCCTGGTTCTGGAAGTAGCTGGAGGTCGTTAGAGCAAAATGCACTGCAGGTTGATTTGTTGCTATTTCGAGGGCTGCTTTGGGGTTTCAAAGCCTGTTTTGGAGACGACCCCAACAAGGGGGCGGCGTTGTTTCTGTGTCCACTGGAGCTTTGGGATCTGGCCTCTGACAAGCAGAGACGTTTGGCGGTCTTTCTGCAGGTAAGCCTTGCTTGAAAAATTGGAGCGGGTCAAATTGACATGTCTCCGTTTTACTTGGGGCTGGTAGGGACGAGCGTCAATCTTGTAATAGGGCTTTTAGACAACCCTTGTAAAGCATCCTACGCGTGACCCTAAAACCTATAGAGTGATGTGAGCCAAACCCAAAAGCCTAAACCTTAAAACCAAACCCAGAACCCTGAAACGTACAGTAACCTAAAACCTAAAGTGATGCAAGCCAAACCCAAGAGCCTAAACCCTAAGCCCAAATCCAGAACCCTAAAACCTACAGTGATACGAGCCAAGACCAAAAGCCTAAATCCTAAAGCCAAACCCAAAAGCCTAAACCCTACAGTAACCTAAAACCTAAAGTGATGCGAGCCAAGCCCAAAAGGCTAAATCCTAAAGCCAAACCCAAAAGCCTAAACCCCAAACCCAAAAACCTAAAGTGATGTAAGCCAACCCCAAACCCAAACCCCAACCCCCAAACCCTCTGCTGTGGTGGGCACTTCCGGGATTGAATGCGCGAATGACTCCAAGATTGCGTGCGCAGATGACCCTGCGGGATTGAATGCGCGAATGACTCCAAGATTGAATGCGCGGATGACCCCACCACCCTGGAGGCCCCCAGCCACCCGGTCCCTGAGCATTTTTTAGCATCTTGGCGTTTTAGCGTTTGGTGGATGGGTGTCCGTTTAGCCTAAATAAGCATCCCGGACCTATGGCTCGTTGTTTCTCCCGCACATGTGAGTGCACACGTTCCTGCGCAGCCCGGTGGGTTTCAAGGGATATGCCCAGAAAGCAAGGGCTTTGCTGCATTTTGCCAAGGGATGTTAGGACTCTAGCTGTTTGCCAACTGGCGTGTTTTCCGTTAAACCACCAAAAGTTATTCACTTTTCGCAGGGCTGCGCAGATTTCGCCACCGAGAGGCCGTCTCTCGCTCGAGCGCCGAATCGCTAGGAGAAGTTCTTCGCCTCGGTGGACGCGAAGAAGTTGGCGCTGATGGTCTCGGCGACGCGTCGATCGGGTGGGTTTGTTTTGGTGGGCGACCGTAGCCTTTTGCGGGTTGGTTGAAAGGAACATGAAAGAAACAGGAAAATTGCAAATTGTGATAGAGCTTGGTGGCCAGCCGCCCCCTTAGCCTTTTAGGCTTTTAGGGTTTAGTGGTAGTTTCCATTTAACCCACTAAAAGTTAAACTTTTAGCAGCGGATCTGAGGGCAGCCTAGAGAGGTTCGTCCTATTCTGAGGCATACCTTTTGAGTTGCAGGTGCGATACCTGTTCCAGGGGAATGGAATCACTAGGCGTAGTGTATCTCCAACCAACAAGACATGAAAAAATGCAATCCTGTTGCGGGTTCAAGGGTGAATGAAGAACACCCAAAAGGGCATTTCAGGGCAGGCAAAAGTCTAGCAAGAAGAAGCAAAGTTGGGCCTACCCCTTGTGTATCGTGGCACAAGCACTAGGTTTAGCCGACCTCCTTTCGTCCAAGAGAAGGGGACTAAAACCTGGACAGCAGTAAGTGAAAGGACGGTGGCTGGCCTGCAAAAGGTTAAGTGGGATCCACACAGGATTGTTTCCTTTGCCCGGGCCCCTTCTGAAACTTTTGAGAGGTTCTGACAATGTCCTTTCATTGGTTTCCCTTTCAGCCATCATTCAAAGTTTAGAGGGTCATGTTGAGGCTCTCACATTAATGGACCCGGTCTTCTTGCCCAGAGTTGCTTACCCACTTGGGTAGTAGAAGAAGAGGCAACACTAGCAGGGAATAGGGACACTTCGTCATTAGTTTGGTGAATGTTCTCCCTTGCACGCAGCCCTACCTGAAGAACGGGCAGTACTCGGAGTCAATACTTGCCATTCTCTGGTGTGGCAAAGTGGATGACAGGAGTCACGCTTCGCAGGTGTCAAGTGGGGGCTCCATTTGGGGACTCAGGGGCCTTGCCACAACCGCTAGTTGCAACGGGCATGACATGCTGCATGGGTCCCACAAACACAGTTTTGCTCATCACTGCTTTACTTTGAGGGCTGGCTGTGCACTTGTGTTCTATGTCTCTTTGTATTTTGCTGCAATCCTTGGAGAACAGTAGCTTTTATTTAGACAGGGCGGTGTCTGTTTGTTTGAAAAGAGAGACATCGAACCGAACCCGGCCAAATGTTGACTGCCTCCATGTTGACACAGACCAATAGGGGTATGAACTTTGATTGGAACCTTTTAGACACGATGTACAGCAGTGGGGGGCGGGGCTCAAAATTGGACTCTCTGGCTATTTGGCATTAGAAATCCATCCTTGTGTTTGGGGGCAAATGAATGCGTTCTACTATTTAGCCTGGGTATTGAGGTCCGTTCGGGGATATTGCCGTGCCTGCAAAGGCAACCAGCCTTTTCTTGCTGCTCAGTCGGGAATGGCCCAGGGTTTGGGGATGCACCTTAAAGGAAACCATAGGGGATGTTTTTTGTTGGGTCATTCCATTTCTCATTCCGTGAGAAGCAGCAAGTTTTGACTCCACTTGCCTCACCCGCATGTGGAACAAGGCCTCGGGGGGTCCAAAGAAGCGATTTGATGGGGCAACCCCCGCTGCTTGCTCCATGAAAAGTGCTTGGTAGACAATGGGTGTGGGCCCCTGCTTTCCTTTTAACTTTTTCTGGGACCAAATGCTAGCTGTGACAATCGGCTTGAATGGGAGCAACACTCGAACCGTAAGTTCTTTGGTGGAGATCTTGTCACGTACTTGCATCCAACCGCCATTTTTGAGGGCTTCTTCCTTTTTCGTAAAAAGTGTTTTCGGGAGGAGGGGGCGGCTAAGAATCAGTTTTTCCTTCTTTTTTTTTGTTAAAAAAGAAAACACACCAAAATCAAAAAAAGAAGACAAAACAAGGGAAAAACGAACAACGTCCCAGGCGAAGAATCTGGGGAAGAACCGGTCCGCCAAAGCTCTGCACTTCACCCGCGACAAGGGCACCATCGAGGCGGCTGAGGCGGCGAAAACGAGCGAATCGAGTCACGTTCGAGTCGAGTGGATTCCTATATTTCACCCCACATCACCTTAAGGTTGCCACTTTTTGACCAGTTTTCTGTTGGTGGGTCGTGTTTAAGTTGGAAACAGGAAGACAAGTCAATCCTGCATGTGTTTGTTTGACATGCAGTTGGGCGAAAGTCGATGGCACATCCCAATTTTGGGTTAGTCATCCCCCTGACTTGCCCACATACAGGGCCAGGTGCCATTTGCTAGTGTAACCATACGAGTTTCGAAGACCGCCTTGAGATAGGCCTCGGGACTTTTCATCATGAAACAGACTTCCACACAGAGGTTGTTGGCTGGGAACGTGAGGAACCCTGAGAGACTTCGGTTTGTCCAACTATGTTGGCTGTCTTTCTGTTGGCTTAGGGATATGGTGGGTCAAAAATAGGGTAACCCTCAAATGGCTTGCCCAAATGGAAAGGACTAAAACCTGCGGTCCATATCCTGGTGGTGACCAATTTTGACCCGTACCCAAAAAACGCGATGCAAGGGGCTCCATCGGCCTGTGACACTGCGACCCCGCGGGGAGGGCTCCAGTGGGCATAGTCTTCGGCGTACAGTCGGCGACGGGAGCCAAGCAAAGCAACGCCCTGCACAAGCCATTGTTCCAAGGCTACCCTGTGGTTTGGAATTGGTCACCTTTGGGATTTGGTCAAGTTGTTTTTCTTTTCTTTTTGTTTACCCGGTCGGCTTTTGAACATCGGCACCAAAGGCGCACCAACCAAAGGAGTTCCGATCCCTCAGACAAGTGGGTCTTTGCAACCACCTTCTTCGAGCTCAAAAGCGAATCGACCTGAAACTGAGATAGCCTTTTTGGTTTTCCAGTTTTGGTCCAAAGTCACGGACCCCAAAGGTGATCACCTTTTTGTTTTTAGGTCCCGGCCGGTTAGGGTGGGCGTCCAGGGTTGGAATTGGGCTCCCGGAGGCTTGGATCGCAGAGAACAGCGGCCCAGACCTCGCACCTCGGTCGGGTCAGGCATTTTTGTTTGGTCGTTCGGAGGTTGCTTTTTTCGCTGGGGTCATTTTCATTTGTCTCAAATTCGGGGACCCCTTAAAGGGGAGTTTGACTACTTGGTTTTTCACTGGGGTCATTCTTTGGTGTGTGTCTCAAACGAAAAAGTAGCCCATTTTTCAGGGGAGCCAAAAGGAAGCCGAGCACCCGGAGGGCCCCTTGGAGAAACACCCATTTTGACGATTTGTGGGCGATATTACAGTCAGACACTGGTTGGTGGTTTCCCTACCTAACACTTTAGGGGTGACTTTGATAGCGAACTTGTCGGGCCAGTTCGGTTTTCCCAGAACGATACGGCCATGGACGAGCTCCACGACTCGCACCAGTTGGGGTTGGTAATGTTTCCCAATATTCATAGGAGTTCATTCATGCAAACTGGTGCAGGATTTTGTCCACAGTCGGGATAGTCCGTTTGTTGAGGGTGGTGTTTTTTGGGCTGCAAAGGAAAGCCGAAGGAGAACAAAGGCTCTGCTTTGGAGGGGGAATATTTTGGGATAAGCCGCAAAGCCGCTAAATTTCAAAAACAGTGGGCTTTTCTAAGAAGGCGCTTTGTTTTTTCGGTCCCCCAAAGTAGGTTGATTGGGCGAGGGGGCGGGGGGCATCGGATCTGTGGGATTTTATGCCCTTCAGTGGCTTTTTGGGATCTGGACGCCTTAAAGGGAGCTTGCTCAAACCAGCCGATGGGTTGATCATCCTTGTTGGCCCTGTTGGGTTCTGGGTGGTTCCACGTCAAACGTCGGGAGGAGGGCATGTAGTTGAAAAACCATGTTTTGGATCTCCGCTGGCTCCCTTGAAGATAGGTTTATTGGGGGGAGGGTCGACCAGACATCTCCATGGTTAGGAAGGGGTTTCTGGGGTTGATTTGGCCTTGATGAGTTGGTTTTGGCAAACCCCCGGGGGAGCTGTGTTTGCATTCTGGGTTGCTACATGTTGGTTTTGAGATCGGATGGATTCAGCAGCGGCCCAACTTGGGCCTTCTTGAGGCTTCCGAGCTGGTGGATGTTTGAAGGTGTGGTGGTGGGGGGTGAAAGAAAAGGATGGTTGATGCCTATAATTCATGGCGAAGCTTGGATTGAAAAGTACCCCCATCCTCTAATTCACCCACCTGAAAGTAGATCGTTTCTTAGGGACAACATGACAGGTTAGTCAAAGTACCCCACAAACCCTATTCTATGTTAGCCGCCTTAATAAACTAGGTCCCCCACTATTGCCATTCTCTACTTGTTTTTTGGGTTGAGGGTTCGCCTACTAAAATAGACTACGGAAAAAAAAGAAGAAAACAAGAAGAAGAAAAAACGGGTACCCTTATTCCAACCTTTTTGCTGGAGCCAGTGGTTATAAGGGGACCAACCCCGATGAATAGCAACCACCGCCTTTTTCCCTCAACTAGCTTGAACATCCAAGTAAGATGGTGGAAGCCACAACCCCACCTAGTAGCTTTGGTGCATTTTGCCAAGGGATGTTAGGACTTTAACTTTTTGCCAACTAATGGGTTTTCCACTAAACCACCAAAAGTTAAACTTTTAGCAGGGGAGCAGAAAGCAGCCGAGGTAGATCACTTTCTTAGAGAAAATATTTTTTCGTCATGTCCGCCGAAGGACAAGCTGCCCGACGATTTCGTCGAGGAGGCTCTTGCATCCTTAGGCTGGGACGATCGGGAGCTTCTCTTTGGGTGGATTGTTGAATTGAAAATTAGCTATTTTATAACTCGTTAAATTATTATTCAATGTACCAATTACATTGCAAAATAGTGGTTTTTCTATATTTGAATATTTTTGAATGGGGGCGTTGACGCCCACAGGAGGCCTCCAAGCCCAAAAGTTGACGCACGATTTGTTGCTAGCTTGGTGATTTCGTGTTGTTTTTCCCTGTGGCGCAACCCATGCCTTCCATGTGAGCATGCATGGATGGATTTCGGGATAGAAACTTGCTGTGCATGCCATGTCTCTGTTTTAGGGAACAACCCAAAAAAGGCTTCGGGCTTTCCCTTTCGTCTCGCCTTTTAAACCCACCAAAACAGGGAGTACCAACTCACAAAAGACGAGCTACCCATGCGAGCCACCAGTCGCCCAAAAAGAAAAGGCGGAGATCCGCCCCTGATTTTTGTTCGGTTTCCACGTTTTTTTTTTGGCAGAGCTATTGGCTGGTGGCGGTTCAGTAGGTTTTTAGTTGTTTTGAGTTGGCTTGGTGGTTGGGTTTTCATTTAACCCACTAAGAGTCATTGTTTAAGCAGGGGATCTGCGGACAGCCCAGATATTAATACCATTCTGACTCATATTAAGAGAACAAGGATGAAGTCGTACCCAGCTGGCTTTCTGATTGGAGGCTTCAGTTGAGATGGATCCTGATCACTTTTTTGGGGAACACCTCTCGTTCCTTTAGGGGTAACCCCTCGAGAATTGGACAACCCCTCCATTGAGGTTTGTTGGAGTAACCGCGATTCCTTCTATGACTCAGGTGTTGGATACTTTATCTCCCAACGCAACATGGCTCCCACCAGTGTCTGGTCCCTTGAAGGAGATGGCAACCAAACCATGGAGAATAAGGAGTAGTTTAGTGGATAGATGTGTTCATACTTCCAAAGACAAATACAGGCGCATACACACTTGCTGAACTAAGTAAAGGATACATGGCACAATGTTGACACAGGACTGGCATGGTCTTTTCCCAGCCCTGTTCAACTTTCTTAGGTTGTGTTTGTTGTTCAATCGGTTGAATCCTGTTCGAGTTTCTGGACATTGTCATGATTGGTAGATACATCATGTTCAGACTAATCCGTGACAAACGAAACGGAACACTGCCACTGCACGCTGGTCGGCACATTAAATGTGTGAACTTCCAGGGGAACTCTTTGAGTGCCACAAGCCGGTTCGGCCAATCAACAGGTTTTCTGGGTTTGGTTCATGTTTGGTCATGGCTCCCCTTACATGCCAATCACGAAGTATGTATTCAAGTTTCATGAAGATGGCACCATCCTCCGTACAAAAAAATGTGCCACCTACAGGATCTGTGAACTATGTGCATTCAAAATGACACCCTCAAAAATGCTCCCCCGTTTTTAAGGGGAAACCGCCAGGTTTACTTGATTGGACCCAGTTGAGAAGAAGTGGGTGACTGGACTTTGGGTACACTGGTACAAAACCTGTGCCTGCGCCTGTGCAGGTGGAGGAGATGTCGCAACTCGGTCATTCAGTTTAGGCGCATGAGCCCATGGCGAAAATTGCCAACGCTCCCTCAACAAAACATGGCAAGATTGGGTGAACCTCATGTTTTTGTGGTAGACATTGGGCTGGCCCCCGCATGCCCTTCCCAAAGCATAACTCGGTCAGTCGCTACATGCAGGGCCGTTTTGCCACGGATGCGTCGGCACAATGAACCCCGAGGAAACCGGGCGAGAAAGAAGACGCCTTGGCTTGGCTGGCTGGGATGCGTGAGGAAGGCTTTTGGGAGCAACACCTTTGGGCAGTTTCGTTTTGTTTCATGTTTTTTTGTTTGTTTTTGCCACTTCCTTTGGGCAGTGTTGTTCATGGTTTTTCTCACTTCTCGAGTTCCTGGACTTTAGTCACTTTTTTGGGTTTGGACCATTTAGGGGTAAACAGAACATGCGGACTCGTTTTTATCCCATCCACTCAGAAAGTGGGTTTTGGGAAGGCTTCGTTTTTGAAGACATGGAGCTGACACACAAGATACATTTGAACCAGGCCAACAGGAAGATCTGGAAATTCGAGCGTGTCAGGCGCGCAACAACACCCAGGGGGTCTTTTATTTGAATACACACAGCCACTCCAACAGGTGTGGGTCCAAACAGGGGCAACCGCGGGTGCTAAGACCGGTAGTGGCTGAATTCCCGTAGCTCAGTTGCGACCAGAGCGACTCGACGTGGGTTGATTGTGGCTGCTTTCCGAGCTGGTCCGGATCCGAAACGTTCGAAGCTGAGGTCGTTTCGTTTAGGCAGAGTAGTGTCGATCATGGCTGAGAATTGCTTTACGGTTCTGATGATTTTGCCCATTGTTGTGCTCCAAGCCAAGTTTCCACAATTTAAAACCATTCCCCAGAAGGGTGCCCGCAAAAGAATGAGACGCCTATGTGTATGGTCATTTGGCCCCGTTCCCTCTGCTTCATTTAAGAACTCACAGTCGCCAAGCTTTGGGACTTTTAAGTTGGGAACCGAGACTTCATAATTAGCCCCCTTGACAGGGTATCCGATTTGGAGGAACGCCTATGTGATGCAGCGTGGTTCCAGGGTCAACTTGCCGCGGCCTGACAACGAACATGTGCGCTCCTGTCTTGCGCTTCTCTTTACGAGCCCAAGCGAAACTTGTTCTGCAAACTCAAAATGGACCTCCTCTTGGTTGGTGTTTACAGGGAAAGCAATTTGGAACCAACCATTGTAGGGATTCCTCTGAGAAACACCCGTGTAGAGTCAACTCAGGTTCCGAGACACTAGCCCCCACTTTTCTGGAAGGGTTCCCTTGGAAGCTTTTTTGACGGAGGTCCTGGAGGCTCTTTTTTTAGTTCAATCGGCAAGATCCACCCTAGCTGCTCATAGCCCATGCACTTAAATTTGCAGGTAAACCACCAGGATGGGTATTCCGGAGCTCCTCCTAGCGACGGGAAAAAAACACCAAAGACCAACAAACATCCAGACCCCGCCCCCCTAAAGCCCGCATTTCGCGTTCACGTTTTGTCCGGCAACCGAGGCCATGACGGGGGAGGACGATGTAGACATGACCCCAGTGGTGGACGACCGCAAAGTGGGCGATCCCAATCCTCCGGAGATCAAGGCGCGGGGGTTCTACTCTTTAAAGCAGCCGCTCTGTGGTCCTTTTGAACCCTGCATAGACCCCCGAAAAAAATGGCCGCAGCCCCAAACCGCATTTCTTCTTTGGTGGGCTGCAAACTGTGGCTTTCCCTGAGCCCACATCTCCAATGTGATGGTTTAACCATCTCTTGGGCCAAGGGAATCCGACCTCTCGGGTGCTTCGACACCCCTACATGGGTGCTTTTTTGGCCTTTGTTTTTCTCTTTTTCTAGGGGGGGTATCCTCAAAGTCAACGACCAACACCTGCGCCCTTTCAGTTCTTGTGGAATCCCACAACACATTTTCAGGAGTATTCGACGAACCGTCGGAGAAATCGGACTTAAACTTAGACTTGAACACGAACTTACCAATTCTACGAGACTGCTTGATGAAGTGGGTGGCCGGCTTGTGGCCGGCTTGTTGTCTCCAGTCCCATTTTAGCCTTTGCCGCCTTTGAGGTGACCTGACAAAAATCCTTTGAAAGATTTGTTGGTAGGGAATGAACCGCACCGGGTGTTGGGCATTCCCTCAATCTCCCTGCTGAGCACCAGCGAGGAATAAGGATCTCCTTTCGGGAGATGCCTTTTTGGATGAGTTCTATCTCTTCAATTGCAGAGGGGGCGAAGCCCTTGACCATCAACCACCAGAGGGCGCCCTTTTTTCCGAAAATCCGGCGGAGGTCTAGTGGAAGCATACACATCCGGTGAAAAAGCGAAAACAAGGGGTGGAAAGGTAAACCAGGAACTCGGTGCAGCATCTACTTTCGGGCTATGAGTGCAGGTACAGGTACAAGTATGTGATTACTGGTGTACATTCTCCCCAGGTAAGGTATAGTACCCCTTCGCTTGGGGTCCTATGTGTCTACTTTACCCAACTGCAAACCAAGCGTACTTGTCCAAAGTCGACTTTTGACCTTTTGGTTTCTCGTTTTTGGTCCATATTTAGTCATTGATCCAAAAGGTGATCACCTTTTACCTCCAGGTACCTGGGACACGCGAGCAAAACTTCTTTTCCTAGGTCCCCAAGTGGTGCCCTTCTCTCTCCTTTTTTGGTTGCAAGAGGGTTCCCCTACTAAAATAGACCACAGAAAAAAGTTGGTACCGTTATTCTAACCTCTCAAATGTGGAGGACCTACTCTCGTTGCCAGGAGAAGGTGAGGCAGGACTTGCTGCAGCAGGTCTTGGAGATGGGCTTCTCCGAGGTTCGGGCGGAGAAAGCCACTCGATGGAATCGAGCGGATTTCGGGGGAGGAACACATTGGCCCGGGAGGGGTTGACTAGGTCCTCCAGATTTGAGAGGTTAGAATAAGGGTACCAGCTTTTTCTGTGGTCTATTTTAGTAGGGGAACCCTCCCCAAAAAAGGGTAAAAAGGAACTACTGGGGGACCTAGTTGACAAGATTCGAGTGGGGAATGCCCATAGGTGTTCAATCCATGAATGCAATGTATCACTAAACATGAACCGGAAGTCAACATATGATGTTTGGTTGAGGGCAAAAGCTGGGACATATTGGAACATCTTGTTTGAGGAGTCTCCTTTTGCGAACCCTCTGTTTGGTTCCATTCAAGTCTTTGGCCCTAGGAAGCGAAACGAGGTGGAAGAGCCAGTTCCAATTTCGGTCACCAATCTTCAGGGTTTCGTCCATTTGCCGTTCTGGGAGCCTCCGAAAGTGGCGGTTGTTTCAATGGAAACCACCAGTTAATTGATCAACTTTTCTTTTGTCGAAATCCAGTGACTTCTGATCTTTTGGTTCCAAAAAGTCGTTAGCGATTGTCAGGTCAAGTTGGAACTTGTACCTATCCTAGGTCCCCCAGTGGTGCTTTTACCCTTTTTTGGGGGAGGGTTCCCCTACCAAAATAGACAAAACAAGTTGGTACCTTTATTCTAAGCTCTCAAGTCTGGAGGACCTAGTATCCATACGCAAAGGTGTCCTGCAATTGGTCCAGCTCGCGTGAGTCTGCCCGATTTGCTGAAAACACCTTGGCGCCTGTTTTGCTTTCCTGGCTTCCATGGGCTTGTTGTTGTTTGGTTTTACGGGGGAATCTGCGACTACCGTAAAGTATGCTTGGCTTTTCCAGGCAACAACGCAACTGGAGGTTGCTCATGAGAAACAACCTAGAGTTGCTCCGATCCCCAGAAGCACAGGACAAACCACTCGCCTTGGATCAGTGCCAGGGCCTTCAAAGCAAACTTGAGGTCGGTAAGATCTGAACTTTCCGCCACTGTAACCGACGCAGGACTTAGTTCTGGTTTAGGGATTCCTGTCGACTCCCTCTTCAGACTCTTATTCGAGGTTCCGCTTGTCGTTTTAACCATCACTCTTTCAGCCAACATACCCATTCCTTGCAGCCAACTGAGGTGACTCTTGACAGAAGTATCAGCAAGCCAACGGTTCCACACTAGTATCTAAACAAGGGCACGCCCTTCCCCTGTCACCTGGCAATTCACTAAACGCGAGACAAATGCTTGACTATTTTTGGTGGGTGTTTGCTAGTTTAGTTTAAACAGATCCTGTAGGGGTGCTTGTGATTTGGGTCACTGCCAAGCTATGCTTTGCCCTAATCTTCCATTTGCTTAAGAATATGTTTGTCTTTTCCCTTGTTGGTTTTGAAAGGAAGTTATCACTACTGGACCTATGTTTTTTTTGTCCAGGGGCCTTAACCAAATGGAAGTTATGGACAAGGGAAGTCAGCGGCACCCACCTTTGGACGCCGAAGCCTTGGAGACGCCGAACCGAGGCCCTGTACAAGACAGACAACGCCGGCTTGGAGTATGCCGTGCCTTGGCAGCCGCAGGTCTTTGAGCGCTGTGTGGTCTTTCCGATTCGAAAGATGGACGAGTGGGGGGAGCCGCCGGTTTTTTTTGTGTACCCTCTTTGGAGCTTGATTGAAAGAAGAACCGGTGAATGTTTTTTTACTAGCCCCGCAGCAAAGAGGAGCCTTTGAAAGGCTGGAACTTTAGCCAGTTGGAAAAAAACCAAGGGACTCTAGGGTTCCTTTTTTTCCTTTCCAATATGTGTTGTTGACCCCCTCCTTTCCCCCCACCCAATTATCGTATCCGAAGAATGATGGGGTCGACTGGGGGATTCCTCCATTGGCTTCCTCAAAAGACAGGCAATTGCCTGAAGTCGTGCAGATTGGGGCCTGAGTTTGATCGAGTTCCAGGAAGCAATGGAAAGCTTGCCAAGTTATGAAGGGTTTTTTGGCGTATGCATGGTGCATATGGGCAGAATTACCTTGTTTCTGATACCTGAGCCCACATTTTTGGATGGGTGTTTTTTGGAGAATCCAAGGGAAGCTAACAGGCAACTAACACCATATGAGGTTCCCTCCTGGGGAGATATTCTGATCCACTCGCACAACTCTTGTGAACAAACCCATCAGATCAACTGGCTCACCGAGCACGCGGATGATGCTGACATCGACCTGCCCCTGCTGAAGCCGCCTCCGCCGAAGCCCAAAATGAGCTGCTTGGCAAGGACGTGCAAGCGAATCGACCTTGGACGTTTTCTTCACTGTGCTTGGCAAGTGTTTTTTGTTGGTTCTGTTCATTGTTAGTCGCGGGCTGCAGAAAACTGCGTTTTTGCAACCATACCAAGGGTTGTGACCTTTTCTTGGCTGCCCTCCGGTTTTTGTTACATTCGGTCATTTCCCATACACGGCCAGGTCGTGCACCTTCAAGGTGTTTGAGTTTGCAACCATGCCCCCGCAAGTCAGTCTCATTGGGCAGACTGGGCGAAGGTTGGCCGGTGTCCCAAACTGAAGATGGCGAGACAGCGCGGCCGCAAAGTCGATGGTACGCACCGCGCAAGCTTGCGTGTGGCTTCGGAAGAGTTTAATCTGAGGAAGGACATGTGACACGCAGAAAGTATAAGCTTTTGTGGCTCGCGGTGCTGGTTGAGTGCCTGGGAGGGCTGCGTTTGCCAAGTTTATCAAGACAACCAGCTGGGCTGTCACTCTCTGCTTGCGCTTTCTTTTGCCATGCCAGAACGGGTCCAGAAGCCGATAACGCTTTGTGAAGAAGTTGTTGTTCGCCGAAAGTGCTTTGGGAGGCCACAGCTTAGACAATTTGGTTTGCACCCAAATTTGGACATGTTTTGAAAGTGGTTTTGAATCGTGTTTCGGGCAACTATGTCGGGCGAAATCTTTGCGCTGTGGGCAGATATCGCTCCGAATCTGCAACAACACCTTTGTTCGAACTACTTTTTGAAAAGTCGAAACACGCATATTGCAAACAGTATTCACGCATGTGGCTGAAGGTTCTGGATTCGCCTCCCTCCCGCCCTGCACTCCTGCAGTTGGCAGGCGCTTTATTGGACCTGCCAAAGCAGCCCCATCTCATGCTCCTTGCGCTTTGCACTGAGATGTGCATTTCATCTAAAGCGGCAAGGCATGTGAGCCATGAAATGGTAACTCTCTCACCATTGGGGTTGCTCAGAGACACCCAACCGGTTGATCAACTGAGGCAAGGAGGAGGCGGAGGCCAAGGCTCTTGAGCTGCAGCAAAAGCTCCGAGAGAAACGGGCCGGGGACCACAGGCCACGGATGCTGGGTACTTGGACTAGGCCCCCCAGCAATTGGTGCAACCTTTCTGTCCCCTTTCTGGTTGGGAGATTCGGTTCCCCTACTAAAATAGACCAAACAGGGAAAAAAAACGGTTACCCACTTATTCTAACCTCTCAAATCTGGAGGCCCTGGATCTTCGATGCGCCGAGCATGTGGTGATCGCCACTTGTGTGAAAAAAAAAGCCGCGCCTTTACGCGAGGTAAGGCTTCCAGAGGGGAGGTGCATGTGCGGAACGCCAGAACGATAAGGAAGAAAACAATCGATAACGGTGTTGAGGCTCAATTAAAAGGGTATGGGGTGTTCTTACAACCCCCACTTTTTTTTTGTTGGTATTTGTTTTTCACCCTATATGAAGGTTAACCCCACTGAAGGGGGCGGATTTGTAACCGAAGGGTTACCGTTTCAACTTAATTACTGACTGGGCGGATCGAACACCCAAGTACCTACAAGCCATCCCTTTTACTTGCCTTCTGCGTGGCTCCCCAAAGGGAGCTGGGTTTAAAGAAAGGGAAGCCGAAAGGATCACCGAAACCATTTTGAAAGGGTTGGGTTACAGGAAATTCTAAAGGAAAACTGCTGATTTTGGGTGTTTTGGGGCCATTTCCTGTAGATTTCCCTGTAACAAACCCTTTCAATTTTTGAGTCACACCCATGCGCAGGCGTATGTCTCCGATTGTTGCTGGGCGCCAGACGTTTTAGTGGAACGCCCTGAAGCCGAATGATTTCGGACCCCTAAAGATGCCGAAGCGTGGTGGACATGATAGGGCCTAAACAACCAGCATGCAGTTGTGAGATGATCGAAACTACGGCATGATCAACAGACAACAGCATTTCCAACATGCTCAGTAAAACTCGTACCCAAGCAAGCATTCGGGTCCGCTTTAGGTATATTTGGGTGAACATTGGTGTGTCGTGTTCAGTTTCGTTCCACTCCTTTGCCAGTACCACGTTAAAATTTGTTAACAGGACACCAGATCGGAATTCCCTTGGCCCCTATCGCTTTTTGGATCCTTCCATTTGGTTAAGAATATTTTGTATTTTCCCCTGTTGGTTTTGAAGGATGTCTATCACTACTGCAAGTATTTTTTAGTTTTCCAGGGGACTTAAGCAAATGGAGGGATCCGGTTTTGCTGAGACCCCTCGAGGAATCTCAGGCCCACTTCGGCCGGTAAGTGAGCAAGCAGCAGCGAGTGGAGCCAACGGTTGCGCCAGGAGGGGGGAGATCCAAACGACATCTCTTTGGGTGTTCAGCGCCTTTTTCAGCAGAATTGGAACCTCTCTTAGGTGGTACTAGTGTCTTTTTGTTGGAATCACCCCTTTAGTCCCCTTCAGTGTTCAAACCACAAACTGAAACATGGGGAATGGAAGTTGCATTCGCCTATACAGCCTCCTTTTTTGCGTCCAAATTGGACTTTGGGACCTGGTCTTTCTTGGTCGCTGACGGGAATCCAAGTACGACACCTTGCAGTCGCCCATGCTGCCCGTCTTTCTCCGAGGTACCCTTTTTCTTTTGGGATAGTAGTCAAGGGAAACCAGGGAAACCGATGGGAAAACCCGCGTATTTTTTTCGGAGGTCCCTCAAAAGGACACTTTTCCATGTGACTTTGGAATTTGTACAGCTGACGCGGGAGGAGTGTTGACCCTGTCTCAAAAAGCACCCGCGGGACCCGCTTGTAGCCTGGTTGGAGCTCGGAGAGGTCTGTGGCTCGGTCGATGGAAATCGATTCGGTATGATGCCATGTGACCGTGTTTGCAACTTGCGCGGACCTTTGAGTGTTGTTTGGAGAAGGCCGTGGTGGCCGCGTAAGGGGGTACGATGGGTCAAGAAACCTGGTATTTTTTGTAATGTGTCAATCATTTGTCAAAGCGTTTATGTGATAGGTGTCCTTTGAACGAACATTTGTCGCGTGTTCGTTCTACTCATTCGCCAGTGCCAACGATTGTTGACTTCGGATTCGTCCGGAGGACCGTACGAATCAGGGCTGTTTTTTGTGCTTCGGAAAGGAACTGTGCAAACCAACTGGGTCCGTCTGACTCGTGCGGTCCTCAAGTTGCTGGGGGTTCCTCCGGCTGAGCTAGGGGCTGAAGCCCAGACTTTTAGAGGACACTCGCTGACTGACTCACGACGGAAGGATCCATGGCTCGTCTTTGCAAATTCAACGGCCGCTGAAACACCTCTAAGAAATCCATGGGCTTTTCCATGAAGAAATAAACCTACTGGACAGGGGCTGTGACAGGGGGGGGAAACGACCCAGAGTCCACAACATCACCATCCCCAAAGGGCATCTTAACAATGGTGCATTTTGCCAAGGGATATTAAACCACTAAAAGTTAGTCACTTTCCGCAGGGGAGCAGAAAGCAACCAGGTATTAAACCCACGGAAGGTTGGACCTTCAGCTCAGCTCAGCAGGGGAGGGGGGGGGGGAGAAGAGCGCCTGGGCTTACCTAGGCAGAGCAGGAGAGGCAGGCGGATAAGGAGAAGGAGACCTTTGGCTTGCCTGTTCCGGGCCGTTTTTCTGTCTCCAAAACTTCATTTTCTGGTTGGGGGCCGTTTTTTGGGGGTCGTTTTTTCTGGTTTTTCTAGGTATGGGACAAAATCAAACCACCAGAAAACCGCAGGCTTTAGTTTTGGTTCCATTTACCAGGGCTCCAGTTTGAATGCCAATTTCGAGTCACAGCAATATTTTGGGGTAGAGGGATACTTACCTCTAGGTTTGCTGCATGGTTTTTCCTGGTCACCAGCCATGGTAGCTGGACGCACTGGGTTTGGGTAGACCAAATCTGAAACGAATTCTGTGTGCCCCAGATGCGGGGCCAAGTCTTGGACCGCTTCACCGTTCAGTGTGGAGTTGGTGCCGAATGCCAAATCTTGAAGAGCGGGGTTTTACGCGCGGTTTATTTACACTACAGAGGCCTCATGTTAGACCTGTCTATCCGGGGTAGAACCAGAATGGGTTTTGGGCGCTCAAATGCGCGCTGCTCGAATTCCGGAAAAAGGCAACTGGGTTGAGCTCGATGTCCTTTCAGACGCCACCAAAACAGGTGTCCTCACAAAGGTCACACCAAGAAACCGGCACGGGCTGGCCAAATGACACGCTGGCGCCTGCCTAGATGTGTCTTTGGGGTCCGGTCCCTTCTTGGGTGTTCCGCCAAATTAGTACGTGGTCAGTAACCAAGGTTATAAGCTGCTGAGAAGTCCCAGCGCAGTTAGCCAGGGTGTAAATCATTTCTAACTCCCACCCAAGTACACACCTGCCAGATTGATTCGGATTTTGTGTTTTTCAAGAATTCAACCACAAAAACACAAAAATCCACAGAGCCTTTCCGCCAGGAGGAGCAGCGGAAGTTGTCCACTCGGCTCATGGCGGAGGCCCAGGAGAAGTCCAAGGAGGAGGCGGGGCCCAGCCCGGAGGATCCGAGCCAGGCGGAGCGACGGGACGGGGCCCGAAGCGAAACCTTAGCCTTCGCAAAGCGAGCGAAGCGAGCAGGGGACCGATCTCTTGGACCGCCCGTGCGGCTCGTGTTTTTTTCTTTTCCTGGCCATGGGAGTGTAAAAGCCAACATGGACTACTTAATTCAGGGGGCAGCTGGCACGTCAGGTACTTGGAACCCGCGCGAAGCGAATGGAGCGACCGGAAGGGGCCGACTGGTCCGGAGACCGATCTACTCCAGCAGTTCGGTCAGCTTGTTTTTTGTTGCTTTTCCCTGACCATGGGCCATGAGGTGTAGAAGCCAACAACTAACTACTTCGGTACGTCCAAGTGGTGATCGTAAGCCTAGTGAGACAACCCATCTGGCCCTATGAGGCTTCCTTTCTGGCGGCCTTTTGCTGGGGGTTTTGCAGCGGGTTGCCTTCTTGAATCAACTGTTCTTTTGGAGGGGGTGGGCCCCTTTAACATCAGCCAACCAAGGACAAAACACGTTAAGTGGCTTTTTTTCTCGCGGCCACTTGGGGTTTGGAATAAGGTTAAGGTCAGGTTGAGGGTCTGGATGAATAAGTAGGTTGAGGAGTGGAAACGCTTCTGTTCTGGTAAAGGGGTTAGGGATTCATAGTTCACGGGGACTAAGTTGGTTGGTTGCACCTTGGGTGACAGCAGATGGCAAATGATACCCTGGTTCAGGGGTCGTACATCTCGTAATGTTAGCCCGGAAGAATAAGCCTGTCCTACTCGTTTGGGGCGTGTCCACAAGTGGTCTGAATCCAACAATTGGAGATTTTGAAAAAAAAAACGGTTAGCCGAGGAGAAACCAAAGGGAAGCCAAGGGAAGACCTCCATGAGAACACATGAAGCCCTTTGGGTGCAGCAACTTCCAAGTCAAGTCAAAGTCAACCCCGGGGTTGAACTTCATCCGGGGTTCCCGTGAAGCACCTGGAGAGTTGGGCAAAAGTTAGAAGCAAGCAACCGGCTGCTCGAAGGCTCGAAGGGAAGCCTCAAGGTCAGTTTCCGAAGCTGGCCCTTAGTTTTGAACTTTGGGAACCAAATAACTGGGGAAAGACACGTACCCAAGGAATCGTTACCAATTTGGACCAATTTGGTTCCCCAATTTTGAGTACACACGTACCCAAATTGGTCCAAAGATTCTGGGAAACGCGACAAACAATGTAAAAAATAGAGCCAGAGATGTGTCCATGAAACAAATCCGACGAAACAACATTGGGAAGTCTACCTTACGCATGAGATCCTCCAGTGGGACTGGGTCTTGGATCCTTGATCCAACCATCCAAATCTGCCCTCCCTCCTTGGGTTGGAATCCAATGATGTTCCTTCTTTGTTGGCAATTTAGATATGCGCGTTTTTGGAGCTACAGAGGCTCTGGTGTCTTGTTTAGGATTCGGACCCCCCAAACTGGCTGCTTTTGGCGTCCCAATGAAACCCAGAAAAGGGGGACCCTCAAAAAAGACAGGGTTTCCTTTTGGTGTCCCTCTAAGACTCACCAGAAAAAAGGGGACTGAGCCCCAAAAAAGGCGAGCCCCTACCTTGGTAACAGGGGCTTCAACCATTTCTCCGGCGATGAAGAGTGCATCGGTCCGCATCGGATAGGAGAGGAAGCGAGCGATAGAGCAGCAAATGAGAGAGTGCCGGCCTCAAGTTTCGTGCTGCTCCCCCATGGGCCCTTCTTGAGACAGAGAATTCCGGACCCCCAGCGCCCTGATTGCTTCCCCAGAATTAGCTCCCCCCTTTTTTAACTTTTTCCCCGTGGAGCTAGGCCGAACTTCTCCCTGTGGCATAAAAGACCCGCCTTAGGCCTCTTGTGGCGTGCTTCTTTGAGTACGTCGGGACCCACCCTCCCAAGTGCACGGAAAGGGGGTCTCGGTTCCATTCCAAGGAGTGACCCTTTTTCAAATACTTTCCTTTGCTGCCCTTAGTTGGTGAAAAGGACATAAGCTGCAGCATAGTGGCGTAGTCTTCGAAGTGGCAACTCAAGCACACACGTGTTTTAGTTCACTTGTAGTACACGTAGCCAAGAATCGACTTGCTGCGAAGCTAATTCCACCATTGGCCAACAGCGTTTTCTCATATGCAAAGCTGCGTCCAAAACCCAACCTTATGACTCTTTGCTTCTTACCACACGTTGAATGTGGTCCCTTTGTTCCCCGGACCGGCGCCACGCGATAATGCGGTATGAAGCATACAAGCCCATGTCTTGTTACATGCGCTTCTTGCACATGTGGACAGGTGATGTGTGATCCAATTAGCTTCAGGAATGCCAGGAATGTAGTATTTGGTTTTATTAATTACATAAGCTTAGTTGGGATTCCAGGAGACTCCCCAGGAATCCCAGGAATCTTCAGTTTTCAGTCCAAGGATGGAGCACAGTTCCCTTCGCAAGCAGCCAGAGTGCCATGCTGATGTATTTTCATATATATATATATATATGCATATGCACATGTTTGTATGGACTTGTATGTTCTCAAGAGTACCCTTTGTTATGTTGGTTTAAAGGGAAACCCAGAGGACACCGACCGTTTTGGTGTCGAGACACACCCATGTAAATATATATATATATATATATGTATATATATATATATGTGTGTATATATATATATATACATCTATCTATCTAGATACACTGTGCCCGCTGAGGGGGTTAGGACTTTCGCGCCGCAGCCTGAATTAGTTTGGCGCGCATACCTGGAAAATCCCGTTCGTCCTTTTTCAAAAAAGGCGCCTTTTTCCATGACGTGTGTCGGCGTTTTGTTGGTACTTGTCCGCTTGGGGCGCTCGGATCGGTGATGAAGGCGCCACCGGGTCCCAACATCCTTTTGGCTTCCCAAACACCCATTTGCGAGGGATGGGGGGGTGAGTCCCAAACCGGGGTTGCTCGATCCCAAAGGAGGGAGCACCAATTGTGCTAGCAGTCTCTTTGTGGTCCCTGGATCTATTCCAAAGAGTATCCAATATGTCAATGTTGGATGTATGATGAAAGTCCCTGGTGTCCACTGTATGGATTATATACCTTGCTGGCGGCCCGCAATGGTCCCTTTTCCTGCGGATTGATGGCGCTATTGTCAAAGGAAGTTTAGAAGGAACTTCTGTGTTACGGCAACTAATTGAAAGCAAGCTCTCTGAGAAAAATGACAAGAGCAGGAATAAGCCCGCGAGAAAAAATGTGCGCGCGTGTGGCAGGCCTGTGCGTGAATTGGCGTCTCCGGAGATGCGAAAGAAATCTCGCCTGTCCGCGGCGTCTGGTCGGAGGTTTCGCAAGGTTTGAATTGCGTGGCAGGCGCAGCATTTTGGCAAGGTCGTGTGCAGAATTCGTGGCAGGCGCAGCGCTTTCGCAAGGTCAAGTTTTCCCAAGGTTTGAATTGCGTGGCAGGCGCAGCACTTTCGCAAGGTCAGGTGCATATTTCGTGGCAGGCGCAGCACTTTTGCAAGGTCAAGTGCAGATTTCGTGGCAGGTGCAGCTTTTTCGCAAGGGCAAGTGCAGGTTTTGTGGCAAGCGCAGCACTTTCGCAAGGTCAAGTACAGAATTCGTGGCAGGCGCAGCACTTTCGCAAGGCCAAGTACAGATTTCGTGGCAGGCGAAGCACTTTCGCAAGGTCAAATATAGATTTCGTGGCAGGGGCAGCACTTTCGCAAGTTCAGGCACAGAGAGGGAGAGAGAGATAGATAGATAGATAGACAGACAGACAGATAGATAGATAGACAGATAAAGATAGATAGATAGACAGACAGACAGATAGATAGATAGACAGATAGATAGATGGATAGATATTTAAAAACAGAGAGATAGATAAAGAGATAGATGGATAGATAAATAGATATTGAGATGGATAGATAGATAGACAGATAGATAAAAAGCAGAGAGGGAGAGAGAGGTAGATAGATTGAGAGATAGATAGAGAGATAGAAAGATAGGTAGGTAGATAGATAAACAGAAAAATAAACAAAAAGAAATATAGATAGGTAGATAGAAAAATAGATAGATAGATAAAGAGGATAGGTAGATGAAAAGAGAAAGACATAGATCGATAGATAAATAGACGGATAGGTAAAAGATAGATAGGTAGGTAGATAGAGAGATAGACAGATAGACAGATAGGTAGATAGATAAATAAACAGACAGATAGATAGATACATGAAAAGGGAGAAAGACAGATATATAGAAGAACAAAATCAAATAGATAGATCGATGGATAGATAAAAAGAAAGATACATAGATCGAAAGAGAGAGAGATAGATTGATCGATAGATAGATATAGAAACAATTAAACAGATAGATAGAAAAATGTAGATAGATAGGTCGATAGGTAGACAGATAGAGAGATAGACAGATAGACAGACAGACAGATAGATAGGTACATGAAAAGGGAGAAGGATAGATAGACAGATAAACAGAGAACTAGATAGATAGATGGATAGAGAAAAAGAAAAGTGGCTAGAACGATAGAGAGAGAGAGATAGATAGATAGATAGATAAAGGTATCGATAAATAGATAGGTAGATGAAAAGAGAAGAAAGAGAGAAAGAGAGATAGATAGACAGAGAGGTAGATAGATCGATAGATCTATAGATAGATAGAGAAGAGAGATCGATAGATAGAGGGATAGATAGATAGATAGGTAGACAGATAGGTAGACAGATAGAGAAACGAGAGACAGATAGATAGATATTTAGATAGGTAGATAGATATATAGATAGGTAGATAGGTAGATAGATAGATAGACAGATAATTAGATAGATAATTAGATAGATAGATAGCATATAGATAGGTAGATAGGGAAATGTAGTTAGATAGTTAGATAGATCGGTAGATAGGTAGGTAGGTAGTAGATAGATATGTAGATAGAGCAGAGACAAAAGAAAGAACACAAACACAAGCAAAACGAAAGAAAGACAGAAAGAAAGAAAGAAAGAAAGAAATATGGAAATAAATGAGGAAGGAAGGAAAGAAAGGAAGAAAGGAAGCAAGAAATAATGATGGAGAAACAAAAGAATCAGTGAAAAGGACAGAGAGAGAACTATAGTCTTTATGTTTTTGAAACTTCCGCCCACCGGCTTCGCCGGCCCTACTGGTACACTCTACAAGATTAGGGCCTTAAGCCCAAATGAGTACAGGATTGCACAGATGTCTAAGCGGTAACAAAAGCAACCACAAAACAGACAAAATTTTCTTTTGACCTCTGGCATCAAATTACTACGCAGTATCCACATCTTATATGTGCCGTAGCCTCGAAACTTACTTTTGGCTTCGAGTGATTGATTTGTATTGTATGCACAAGGAATTGCACGTCTCTACTGTCAACGCTTTGTACAAATGTCGGGCACCTATCTGGACCAAAATGTGTGAAATTAATGACCCCTTACTGGATAGTCTTGTTGTCGGTGAGGACCAATTGATCGGAATTCGTTGTGCCGTTTTCGGTTGATACTCTGTCAAAGCCGGATTGTTCATGATTAGTGTGAATGGTTTGGCAGTGACTGGTCCTTAAAAGGGTCATGACACGCAACACATTGTCTCAAGTCTCATGTAGTCCTCCGGATTATTCATTGCATTTGAGGGTACAGCTGAGCTGTGCCCGAGACAACAGAAAAGAACAGATTATTCGAGCTTGCTGGGGCATTGCGGTATCGTCGATACTTGATACATTGGGGACGATACAGCCATTATCGTCGGGTACATTCTCAGGTTATCAGCCGTAGGGCTCATCCCACGTGCTGTGTGACGAGGGTGATCTGAGACGGGGGTCGCATACCACCGCTTCATAAAGGATGAGCCTCAATTTGCCAGGAGGCGCAGTATTTACGTGTAAAATGACCGATGGAAGATCTTCGGTTACATGCGCGGCACCCGCCGCGGGAGTTTCATCTCAGGGAACACCGGAATCAGCCGGTCATGGGAGCGGAGATACCATTGTGGTGAGTACTGGACCTGCTGCAATAAGACAGCGTAGTGACGCAGGCGATCGAGGGTACTGTCAGATGGAGATGATGGTAGGGATCAACTCCGCAAATCTCGAAAGGGAGAAAAGTCTTCTTGCTCATTCCCCAAGCGGACCAACAACTCGATGAAGATTTGCGGAAATACCAACAGAAAACGGAATTACAGTTGAGTGAAGTTGCAGAGCAGTATGATGAGTTGCGCATGTTCACGGCAGAATGAAGGATGAACAGGACTTGCCCATCGATCAAGTGAAGATCAAGAGCGTCAAGCTTAATGAGCTTTGAATCTATGGTTTTCGAAACCAACCGGGGTTCAGATCGCTACAAGATGGAGTACAGTGAGATGTCGGCGAGTCGGCATCTTTGCGGCAGGCGATGGAAGCTGCTAATGAATACAAGTCTCAGGTTAATATTGGCAATTGTGTGAAAGCCAGGTTGAACTATGAGAATGAGCAGCTTCATGAGAAGTTACATCGTGAAGAGTCAGCTACACAGGCGAAGCTTAGGGGTGCGGAATTGTACCGCACCAATGTGATGTCCAACAGGGATGGGCAGATCCAGGCGTTGAGATCACAAATGCAACAGTTGCCCGAATCAGAATCCAAAGAAGAATGGGTTAAGTCTGCCAAAGCTCTGGCTGAGCAAGAAGCCAGTGTATACAGGTTATTAGCGAAGCCCGAACGGAAGTGAAC